CCTCCCCCAGCCCCAGCTCCTGTTTCTCCAGGTGCTGGGGTGTTTTCCTACGTGTTAATTTGCCCCAGTTGACGCGCCCATTCTTGGCCCCCGGCCCCCCAGGGGGAGACCAGCCCGCTCTGGGGTGGGTCAGGAGGGGCCGTGGGGGTGGAGAGACGCGTGAGGTGCGGCCCGAGCCCTCGGGGTCTGGCCCCGGGGCTGGGAGGGACAAGAGGCGGGGTGGGAAGTGTGCGTTTGGAGTGGGTGGGTGTTAGAACACAGACTGCGCATTGTCCTCTGCAGGCCGGCGCCCCCTCCCCACAGCCCCGGCGAGTTACTGGCCCGGCGCGCGCACGCACAGCGACCCCTACCGGCCCCTCCGCTCTCGCCAGCCACCTCCTCCAGGAAGCTCGCTGGGGCCGGCTTCCCGGACCTGGAAAAGAGCCCTGTAGAGACTGCCTGTGAGATGCTTTTGGCTTCCCAGACAGCTTGTCCCTGGGTCCACACGACGTGCTTGGCTCCTAGGGCTACGACTTTTAGAGACCACAGTTTAGAGTGGGAAACGCTCTGAGAGGCCAGGCAGCTTGCCCAAGGCCACACAGCTACTGAGAAGCAAGGTTGGGATATGAACTAGGTTTTATGAGCCCCATATCCATGTCCATTCCCCTGGTGCATGCTGGAGGGAGAGGGGAGCACAGAGCGGGTGTTGGGATGGGGCAGCAAAGCCACCTATGGGCAGGGGAGGTGCCTGGCACCCTGGAAGGCTCTCAGGAATACTAGGGACCAGCCTGGCCTTGCCCTTTGACCTGCGTGCTTGGTTTTCATTGCTCCCCTCCCAGGCTGGGCTGGGGCCAAGACCTGAGGTTTGGGATAGGGTCTACCCCCAGCCCCAGCTAACCCTCATGGTGGCCCGGGCGGGGGTGCCCGTACCTCCCCACTTCCTCTCTTCATACTGTCCCTACCAGGCAGGCCTGAGGCCTAAGGAGAGGGGTAAATTCCTATTACTTAGGCCTAGGAGCTGAAGGCTGTGGATTAGAGAGGGGCTTGTTCCCCTGCAAAAAGCCGAAAACTGTCAGTACAAAAGGTCTCCTAGTGACAGGGCCTTTTCCCACCCCTCTTCCTGGGCTGGATGGGGTGGGGGCAGGAGGGCTTGACTCTGAGGGCAGGAGGGAGGGGAGCCATTTCTGCTGACAGTTTTCCCTCAAAGGCCCTGCTCTGCCTTGACTCGTCAGACCAGGGGCTGTGCCCCCCACCTCCAGGCTTCTCACCTTGGCGCTTGCACCCTCCCGACCCATTTCCCTTCTTCCTGGCTGCGGCCCCTCTCACCATATCTTCTCCTCTAAAGACTGATAGAGACATCCCCAGGCAAGCCCCCATTTGTCTGTGGGGGGCACTGATGCATCCCCTTTTAGTACCGCCCCTCCTTTTTCCCTCTCTCCACACATGCCTCTGCTCTTATGAGCCCTGTCAGGTGAGGGGACTGTGGGAAGGCGGGTCGGGGACAGGAAATGGTTACCTCCCTTCCTTGCCCCAAATTTCCAACCTCCTGAGCATAGCCCTGTAATAGACAGGAAGACAGAGGCATTCAGAATTTGGGGTGGTCACATCTCCCCATCAACCTCTTTGTTCATCTTCTCCCTTCATCACCCCCCACTGGAAGCCAGAGTTCTGTCCCTGCCCAAGAGGAAACACCACATCCCCCCCACCCCCCAACACATACCATTTTGCCCTTACCCTCCCAGACTTTCTGACTTTTGAGGTCCTGTTCCCTTACCTCTTGCTCCTGGCAGAACCCCAGGGTAGAAGGGTATCACGGAAGGGGTGGGCACACTATAGAGAGGGAGGGCTCAAAGCTCTTCTTACAGCCCCACTGGTGGCCTTGTGTAATTTAAGTGGATCAGAAAGTCCTGGATTTGAATCCTGCCTTGGGACTCACTACTATGGTCTCGGGCAAATTATTTAGCCTCTCTGGGGCATGGTTTCTCATTGGAAAAGGAATCTTGCCTTTTGCTAATCTATCCTCTGCAGTTGGTTGTGAGGACAACATGTGACTGGCACGTAGTAGGTGCCTTAGAAATGATGCTGTATCCCAGGCTTGTTGGCGAGTGAGAGCTGGTGTGTGCACTGGGGAAAGCAGAAGGAAGGGAGGAGTCAAGAGTCTGCTGAGTGGGATAGCACCCGGCACCTCTGTGCTAGGGCCTCCGAAGAACTGGGTTTGTGTAGGGCATGGCTGGGGATGCTAACTAAATAGTCAGTAGCATCTTCACTGAGGTCCAGTGGTTTCCTTGGTAATGAGTTAGGCGTGATGGAGGACAGAGAAAAGTTTGTCATTGATCCAACAGATTTTCTGAACACCTTCTGTGGGCCAAGGCCTATGTTGGACCAATTGTGCTGGGGAGATGCCTACATGTCCTGTCTTCATCGTGCTTATATTTGAATAAAGTGACACAGACAGAAAGAAAGTCAGTGAACCTGAAAAACCGCTGCAAAATAATGGCAAATAACTCTAAGCAAAATGAAGAAAATTAACAAAGGGCTGAGATGGGTGACCCCCAGGAGGATGCCATGTAGATGTGAGCTCTACAGGGTGAGAAAGGGCTGGGAACAGGCCCGGGGCAGTAGCTCACGCCTGTAATCCCAGCACTTTGGGAGGCCAAGACGGGTGAATCACCTGAGGTCAGTAGTTCAAGACCAGCCTGGCCAACATGGTGAAACCCCATCTTTACCAAAAATACAAAAATTAGACAGGTGTGGAGGCATGTGCCTGTAATCCCAGCTACTTGGGTGGTTGACGTATGAGAATCGCTTGAACTCAACAGGTGGAGGTTACAGTGAGCCAAGATCATGCCACTGCACTCCAGCCTGGGTGATGGAGCAAAACTGTCAAAAAAAAAAAAAAAGGTTGGGAACACTGATGAGGCAAAGATTGCAGGAAATGAGGGGAGAGTGGTAAGGCAGGAAGTGGGAGAGGTGGCAGGAGACTATAGCAGGAGACTAGAGACCACGCTGTGTGCTGTCAGCCCAGTCTCGAAAAAAAAAATTATGTATATATGTATATATATATGTATATATGTATATATGTGTGTATATATATATATGTATATATGTATATATGTGTGTATATATATATATATATATATATATGGATTTGACAAAGCAAGACAGGCTGATGGGTTGGAGATGAGGGGCAAGGAGAAGGGAGGAATCGAAGAGGATGCTTGAGCTTTGGGCTGGAGTGTTTTGGCAAATGTGGTTCCATTTCCTGAGCAGGAAGCAGGAGGGAGGAACACCAGAACTCTGCTTTGGTTATGTTACATTTGAGAGGCTTATGAAGGTGGGAGGTGAACAGCTGGAGAAATCAATCAGGAGAGAAGATCAGGGCTGGAGATAAAATTTTAGGGTCTGAAGCCATAGGGAGTCTTTAAATCTATGGTCATAGATGTGGGGAAGGTGTGCATTGAGAACAGACTGGCAAGGTGGCCTATGCCTGTAATCCTAGCATTTTGGAAGGCTGAGGGGGGAGGATCACTGCAGGCCAGGAGTTTGGGGCCAACCCGGGCAATATAGTGAGACCCCTGTCTCAACAAAAAGAACAGAGAGAGAGAGAAAGAGAGGGAAACACAGGGTTCGGCCTGGGCCAGGCGGAAGACCTTGAGCTGTAGCAAGGAGAGGCCAGCAAGAGCAAGCAAGGAGTGTGTGGGGCTGGGAGGCAGGAGGGGCTGGCAGAGGGCTGTGGGAGCTGGGAAATGAGATGGTTTCAGGGGGCACCTCCAAACATGGCCAGTGCTGCTGAGATGGGCAGAAAGTCAAGGACAGGAAAATGATCGTAGTTCTTGACTGTGCAAAGGTGTGGTTTCTGCAGAGTGTATCATGACTGAGGGCTGTGGCTGCAAGTTCAGCGGCAGGAAGGAAAGCCCTCTCTAGCTGCAGCTGTGAGGAAGACTTCCTGGAGGAGGCTCCGGTGGGAGTAGAGGGTGAGAGGCTGAGTTGTGTTTCTTCCTGTGCCTTAAACACTTTGTTACATGCACCCTCTCCCCCTGCTTCCTCAACACCCCAAATCCTGCAGTACCAGTCCTTCCAGGTGAGGCAGCAGCTGCTAGTCAACCCTAGTATCCATTCTCTTCATCTTCCTTAGAAACAGAATCACTAATTCTTTTGCTGTGCATGTTCCCAGCAGAATAAAGACTGCATTTTCTGGCCTTCTCTGTAGCTAGGCATGACTATGAGACAGGATTTTGGCTCATGACATGTCAATGGAAGTGTGTAGGGCTTCCAGGGAATCTTAAATGGAAGGAGAATCCTTCAAGGTTCCCTTTTGCTGCTGACTGGAATATAGATCTGATAGCTGGAGTGTTAGCAGCCCTCCTGAATCATGAGGTGGAAGCCATGTACTGAGGAAGACAAGGCAAAATAACAGAAGGAGCCTGCAATTCTGATGACTTTGTGAATCTGTCCACCCAGGTTTGAGCTTCCCATATATGAAATTTCTGCATATGTCAGAGAAATAAACTTTTATCTTCTTAAAGTAACCTTTTTTTTTTTTTTTTGAGACGGAGTTGCCAGACTCAGCTCACTGCGACCTCCGCCTCCCGGGTTCAAGCGATTCTTCTGCCTCAGCCTCCTGAGTAGCTGGGACTACAGGCGCATGCCAAACGCCCAGCTAATTTTTGTGTTTTTAGTAGAGACGGGGTTTTACCATGTTGGCCAGGATGATCTTGATCTCTTGACCTCCTGATCCACCTGCCTCGGCCTCTCAAAGTGCTGGGATTACAGGCATGAGCCAGCGCGCTCAGCCTTTAAAGTAATGTTAGATTTTCTGACTCTTGCAAAAATGTAATCCTCACTGAAATACTAGCAAAGCAGAGATTTCCTGGGAGCAGAGGAGGGACAAGGAGTCACGGCCCCCTCTCACTTGGGCGTTAAGAAGTGTATAGCCCTGGCCAGGAGCCATGGCTCACGCCTGTAATCCCAGCACTTTGGGAGGCTGAGGTGGGTGGATCTCATGGTCAGGAGTTCAAGACCAGCCTGGCTAACATGGTGAAACCCTGTCTCCACTAAAAATACAAAAAAAAAAAAAAACAAAAAAACTAGCTGGGCATGGTGGTACGCGCCTGTAATCCCTGCCACTCAGGAGGCTGAAGCAGAAGCATCACTTGAAGCTGGGAGGCAGAGATTGCAGTGAGCAGAGATCGCGCCACTACACTACAGCCTGGTGACAGAGCAAGACTCAGTCTAAAAAAAAAAAGAAAGAAATAGAGACAAAGAGGTAGACAGAGGCAGGCATAAAGGGAAGGGCAGACGGAGATGAGGCTATCAGAGTCAGGGAAGTCCAGAAAGGCACCAAGGAAAGGACAGATGCTGAGAGGTAGAAAGGACAAAAGATGAGACAAATGCTCCAGCAGACAGAAACTGGAAATTGGGGCAAACAGATAGAGGAGAATGGGGAATAAAAGAGCCAGGTTTAGTGAAGGATCCCCGGGGGTAGTGACATAGAAAGGGAGAGAAAAAGACTCAGCATGTTTATTTAAAAGATCTCAGCTGCAAACCAAAGCTCCTCCTGCCTCCAACGCTGGGCTCTGGGCCCTTCCAGTCTCTACATCCACAAAGAGGCCAGGATGGTGTAGTTGGGTCTTTTTCTGATCATCAGCTGAGAGTAGAGCCTTCTTCAGTGGAACAGGTATATCTGCAGGGTCCCACTCCAGGGGACTGAGGAGCACTTAGTGCAAGAAACTAACAAGGGATATGGTGCAGACTGGAAAGCTGTGAGCCCCTTCCAGAAAGAGCAAGGGAGGTGACGGTTTCTGGAAGTCAGTGAGTGCTGGAGCCGGAGGAAGGGGCTGCCCCACAGGACCATGGCCTTCAGCGGTGGGAACAGCCTCTGCCAAACTGCACAGCATGGGGGAGGCTGGGGGAGCAAACTCTCCCACTTGTCTTTCCTGTCGTCTGACCTTCCGCCAGTGCCTTCATTGGTGGAACCAAGAACCCAGTGGGAAGTCAGGGGACACAGAACGGAGTGATGCAGTCCAGGAGGGGTCGGCCTCGTGCAGACAGAGTGGGAGAAGGTTGGAGAGTGGATGATGAGGCGCCATTTCAGAACACTTAAGCACACCAGCTCTGCCCTCCCTAGGGCCGCTCAGACAGGAGCCACCTGGTTGTTGGTGTTCTACACCTTTCTTAGCCTCAGTTTCATCATCTGTTAACTCAGGGTAGGAATCGTGCCAGCTTTCTAGAACGGTGACGAAGACGCATAACTGAGACTGCCCCTGTGAAGGTGCCCGGCATGAGGCCTGCACACTGTGCACTCGGGCAGGGCCGGTGGTGCCACTGTGAGGAGACACCTGACCCTCAGGCTGGCAGCAAGCAGAGGCCTGGGAAACCTCAGAGCAGCAGAGTGACCACGGAACGAACGAGTCTGGCAGGAGCGAGGAGCAGTTACAGAACATGCGAGTAACCAAGAACACCTTTTTTTTTTTTTTTTTTTTTTGAGACGGAGTTTCATTCTTGTTACCCAGGCTGGAGTGCAATGGCGCGATCTCAGCTCACCACAACCTCCGCCTCCTGGGTTCAGGCAATTCTCCTGCCTCAGCCTCCTGAGTAGCTGGGATTACAGGCACGCACCACCATGCCCAGCTAATTTTTTGTATTTTTAGTAGAGACGGGGTTTCACCATGTTGACCAGGATGGTCTCGATCTCTTGACCTCGTGATCCACCCGCCTTGGCCTCCCAAAGTGCTGGGATTACAGGCTTGAGCCACCGCGCCCGGCAAGAACACCTTTAATGGAGGTAAGTAGGACCGAGTTTTGCTTTAATATTTTAACATTTTACTCTAGAAATTGTAAGCATATACTAAAGTAGACAGAACACTGTCTACAGCCCCTATGCAGCCCATCACCCAGCCTCAACATAGAGCAATTCATGGACAATTTTGTTTCTTCTTCTGCACCCCCCCACCCCCTCCCTGTGAGACAGAGTCTTGCTCTGTCACCCCGGCAGGTACAATGGTTCCATCTCAGCTCACTGCAACCTCCGCCTCCTGGGTTCAAGTGATTCTCCTACCTCAGCCTCCCGAGTAGCTGGGATTACAGGCATGCACCACCACGCCTGGCTAATTTTTTTTGTATTTTAAGTAGAGACTGGTTTCACCATGTTGGCCAGGCTGGTCTTAAACCCCTGACCTCGTGATCTGCCCGCGTCAGCCTCCCAAAGTGCTGGGATTACAGGCGTGAGCCATGAGCCTAGCCTTTATTTTTTCTGTATCCTGTCTCTCCCCTGTATTATTTTGAAGCAAATCACAGACATTATATTATTTCGGCCATCAACGTTTCATATGCATCCAAAAAAGGTAAGAACTTTTAAAAACAGCTTTAAAAATTTTTAAATACAAAAAAAACCAAAAATTTAAAAAAAGGAGCCACCATGGCTTAGACCAGTTGTCCTGGCGCTTGAGGAGGCGAGGCTACGCGTTCGAGGCCAGCCTGGGCAACATAAGAACCTCTCATTCATTTAAAAAAAAAAAAAAAGCCGGGCGCGGTGGCTCAAGCCTGTAATCCCAGCACTTTGGGAGGCCGAGGCGGGTGATCACGAGGTCAAGAGATCGAGACCATCCTGGTCAACACGGTGAAACCCCGTCTCTACTAAAAATACAAAACATTAGCTGGGCATGGTGGCGCATGCCTGTAATCCCAGCTACTCAGGAGGCTGGGGCAGGAGAATTGCCTGAACCCAGGAGGCGGAGGTTGTGGAGAGCCGAGATCGTGCCATTGCACTCCAGCCTGGGTAACAAGAGCGAAACTCCGTCTCAAAAAAAAAAAAAAAAAAAAATTTTACACACCTTTATTACATACAAAAATTAAGTTTTTAACTGGATACCTAGCGCCCAGAGCTGAGTTCCAAGGCACAGAAACAGAGCTCCTTGGAGAAATGGCTGATTCCGTGACTAGGGCAGGAAAATACACAAGAGGAGCTTGGAGCGTCTTACAGTTCCAGAAAGCATGGAAGTGCTTAAAACAAAACAAAACAAAAGCCAAAACAGAACCCCCACATTGATGGGGGTATGTCAAAGGAACACGGGAGCCAACTGAAATAGCTCCCAATGGCCGACACTGGAACAATTTGAGTGAAAAAATAAATATACTAGTATTGGATTATTACCCAAAGTATAAAATAAATATCCCTGAGTCCATGCTGATATACATAATCGAATAAATAAATAAATGGAGGAGAAGAGAGAAATCTCCCATGCAGAAGAAAGCCAAATAATTTATGTAGACACTTTGTCTTCAAGGAGGAGGAGCATAACTCCCCACTGCTTCAGTGCGGGCTGCACATAGTGACTTCCTTCTAAAGAGTACAGTATGAGAAGGGTGGAGAGGAACCCTAACTTTGCAATGAAGAAATCTGATAAGTTACTTGCTGAAGCACTGCCCCAGCCAGGTAATCAAGGACAACCTCACAGTCACAAAACATGCTATATACAATGTTATATAAATGGCACTGCAACCTCCACCTCCCGGGTTCAAGCGATTCTCCTGCTTCAACCTCCCATGTAGCTGGAGGTACAGACGTGTGCCACCATGCCCGGCTAATTTTTTGTGAAGATTAAATGAAATACTGCAGCTCAAAGTACTTGTGATTGTGTCTTTCCTCTCTCTCTTTGGGGCAGAAGAAGAAGGTAGACTATTGCTGATATAACAAAAATATTTATTTTGAAGAAAGGTGGGGTAAGGTGTCGTCACGTGCACCCAGGGGGCGGGAGGCCTCCTTAGTAGAGGCTGCACGTCGCCCTTTGAGAGGTGAGCTCTTGGAGGGGGTTTTGATAATAATCGGAGGCCAAATTGTCATTGGGGCCAGCTGATGCTGGGCCTGGAAGGTGCTGGATCCTTTAGGGGAGGCCTGGGGCCTGGCCTTGGGAGGAAGCCTTGCCTCTACCTTGGGGATCTTCACATGGGAGGCTGACTGAGACTTCCTCTGATGCTGGTCCCCCAAAGTGGTAGGCTTTTCTTTGGATGACAAGGAGGGCAAGGCTTGAGGGAGGAGTGGGAGGCTGGAGTGGGCGGGAGGTGGAGCATCACCTTTGTTCTCAGGCTGTACTCACAGGGGCAGGGCTCCGAGATGAGGGGCAGGGAGAAATATTCTTCCCACCATGGGGCCTGCTCCCCAGAAAACTTGGGCCAGGCCACCAGACCCCACGCCAACTCCTGCCTGGGCACTTGGAGGAGTGTCTTGCTCCTGAACAACGATGAAGTGACATTTGGATCAGAGTGGAGAGGGAGAGAGAAGAGGCCGAGACAGAAGGATAGAGAGAGAGAAAGAGAGAGAGAGAGAGAGAGGCAGCAAGGAGACATGGACATCAGGGTGGGGATTGGAGATGGAGAGACAGCAAAGGAGGCAGAAGGCAAGGACCATGTGCTGCTACACACACCCTGCTTCCTCCTCCTCTTTGCCACAAATGTCCTCTACTGATGGGGTCTCACATGCAGGTTTGGAGATGTTCACCCAGCGTTCCTCTTAAAGAAAAAACTTGGAGAGAAGAGAGGGGACCCTCGGACCAGGAAGGGGAACCAGGATTGAGAGCAGCTCCTGGCTTTGGGGGAGATACCAGAAGCTCACCATCTCCTCCCACCTCTCCCAGCTAGTCCTCTTGTCCCAGGCTCCTGTTTTAGGCCTGCATATTCCAGGCTGCTTGAGTGCTGGTCCCACCATCCAGAATACTTTGCCAAACCCCTCTCTGTCTGATAAAAATTCTGCCAGTTATGCAAAGCCTGCTCAAAGCCTGAACCGTTCTTCACCTTGAAGCATTCCTTGTTTAGGTCCCCTTAGCCCCTTGCTCCTCTCTGATGGTCATGACCACATATTTGTACCTGTCATGGAAAGTACACTGATTGAAATCCTTAACGTACCACAGTGGGTTTTGTACTGTATGTCTTTCTCTCTAACTGGTATTTCCTTACAGACTGGGACTTGCGGTCATCTCTGACTGCACCCGTCCTGGAGAAGGATCTCCAAATGCACTTGCCAAATGCACAGAAGTTCATGGGATCCACCCCATTCCATCCTCCCCTCTCTGGGGTGACAGCAGGGGAGAGAGGGCTGTGAGGGAGAGGTGTCTGTCTAGGTCTTTCAAGGTCCAAAAGAATATGAGCTCAAAGGTGCTGGCCACACCTCCCAATCCCACTGTGACATCATACATGTGTGTCACACACCCGAGGGAGCCATTGTGGCTTCACCCTGGGTGAACTCTTTGGAAGTTTGCTGCACCCAGCTATCCCCTAGATCCTCTGTGCCACAGATGGTCTCACGGACAGAGCCCTTACCTCATTTGGGGAGCTCTTTCCTTCCCTGAGGGATGAGGCAGTTGCCCACTTTAAAATCCTCATGTTGAGCTCTGGAAAGGAGGTGTTGGGACCTGGAGTTAGTCAGGGAATGGGCAGGAAGGGGCATCTGGCATACATCCTGGGGCCCCCAAACCCATGTCCAGGCCCTGGCAGTGACTCTTTCTGTGCAGGGCTTTAAGTGGGGGGGGTCTCACCTGAGCAGGACACACTCAGGGCCCCACTTGAGCAGTAAGCAGTAAGGAAGGCTGAAGACAGGAAATCCAGATGGCCCTAAAGGAGAGGGTTGCTTGCTTTGGGACTCTGGGTACTGGCTTTCTCTTACAATTCACACTAGAGTCTTTGACAACAGGTCCCTTCAGAATTCACCAGACACTGCCATTTTCTCTTTCTCCGTAAGTAGCCCCTTCCTCCCACTCCCCATTCCCATGGTGTATTTCTTCTTTTTCTTTTTTTTTTTTTAAAGATGGGGTTTCACCATATTGGTCAGGCTGGTCTTGAACTCCTGACCTCAGGTGATCCGCCCACCTCAGCCTCCCAAAGTGCTGGGATTACAGGAGTGAGCCACCTCGCCCAGCGCCATGGTGTATTCCTTGCCTTCCCAGGAAGCTGTCCTCCTGCTGGGCCCAGTTGAGAGTCCTTTCTCCTTCTCCCTTGACACTAGCCACCTTGAAGGCATTTCTATTTAGAGATTGACAAGAAACTTACACAATAACTGAATTCAATTTGATTACAACGAGGCACTGTATTTATACGGTGGTGTAGCTGGAATCCTGGAGTCCTAGGATTGAAATGGGTTTCTGAGCAAGAGGCTACAGGAATCTGGTTGGCAGTACCATGGGCAGGGAGTCTCCAGGCTGTGCTGAGACACTGGCAGTGACTGGAATCTCAGTGCCCCACAAGGCCACCCACTTGGCTGTGAAAGAATCCCAGACCCCTAGAAACGCCTTCCTTCAATTAAACCACAACCTGGACTCCCGTTTTTGGCGTGTGTGTGTCTTTGGATGGGCACGGAGGAGGCACCACTAAGCACGCAACCACGTTGAGAAAAAAGCTGTTTTTGTTATTGTTGCTGCTGCTTTCGGTGGAGGTACAAAGTGATAGGGGGCTTATCTAGGAAGGATGCCTCAGCCTGGGTGGGGGAGGGCTGGAGAGCCTGTGGTTTGAAGAAGGAGAGGGGAGATGGAAGATTGAGTATAGGAAGAAGGAGGAACGAGGGCAAGAGTGGCCTGCGCAGACGACTGCAGGGGGATGTGGAGGGAGGCAGGAGGAGGCTTGGCTGGTAGGAAAACCTGGGTTTGTTGAGGGACAGAAGGAAACCTAGTGGTCTTTCATTCATAGGCGTTCCCAGAGAAATCCTTACTGGCAATCTTGGGCAAGGAACGAATCGCCTGGCGTCTCAGTATCATCAGTTTGGAAAGTGGTTATAATATTTATGCCCAGCTTCCTAGGCTTGTGGGAGTTAAATGACACAAATTTAGTACGTTGTAGTGTTTGGTACATACTATGTGCTCAATACAATACAGAAATAATATATTATTTATAGTACAATATTATATTACAAATAGCATATTATTATTTACTTTTTTGGGAGCCCCAGTTTTCCCTTCAGCTTCAGAGTCTGGGCTCCAGTTCTGCCTCTAAAAAATCTGTGCCTCCCACGTGTGTGGTTTCTCTTCTCAGTGGCTCCCTGCCGCAGACAGCAGCCATCGCTGGGTGGAGCAGGGCAGAGGCTCCCCTGTCCATTACTCAGGGTTTCCAAAGCCCTGGCAGGGACTCCCTCCTCGGCTTCAGGGACCGGAAGTGGGTATGTTTGGAGGGGGAGGGAGTCTTCCCCCAGCGAAGACTTATTATGTCCATAGCCTCCCAGAGCCCAGAGCTGGGACTTTCTGCCGCCCGAGCTGCACTGAGACCTGCTCCAGCATCCTTCTCTTCCAAGCCCTACACCAGTGCTGATGGCTGCACAGTCGGGCAGTCTAGCCTGGGCTTCAGCACAAAGTTGCTGTGTGACCTTCGGCAAGTCTCTTCCCCTCTCTGGGCCTCAGTTTGCTCCTGGGATAAAAGAGACGATAAGAATTATATTTCCATGATTTAATGGGGGTAAGATAATCAGATGGGGAAAGAGGAGAAAATTAAGGAAAGGAAAGATTTTACCAGTAGAGTGCAGGCACTGATCTGCAAGGGAAAGCGTTTGGGGGAAT